ATGGCAACCGGCAGTGGCGGACAATGGAGGAGAGAGAACCTCCCCACCAAGATAATAACAAGTTTCTCCTTCTGAACCAACACTTGGCGGAAGTAATAACAGTGGCTCAGACTGTAATCCAGTTTAAAGGAAGAGTATATGACATACACCAGCTCCAAACATTTTTTAAAGTAAGAACAAACACAAAATAAGGGCTATAGTCCAAGTAACAACATAAATACATTTGGGATTCTACTCAGCTCCCAAATGTAAATTATTCCTCTCAGAGAAAGGAAGTGAGGCATCTGCTATCCTGAACAACAGCCCCTTGGGTTTTGCCAGCCACACTCTAATCCCCAGCTGTCCTGAATCAGATCATTTGGTTGGTGTCTTATTCTTCTGTAAGGCCCTCTTAGAAAATATTTAGAGATTTTAAAAAGTTACTGGCAAATAAGAAAAAGGGGTATCTAATTTTAACAGGAGTTATTTTCTCCTTCCACACCTCTAGGAGGTATTTTTTCACTGTCACATTATTCAAACAGAAGCTATCTTGGCCTGCAGAGATGAATCAGAGAGCTAGAATTCATGACAAGAATATCCTTGAATCAACAGAGTGAGCACGTACCCTACTGTGACTGTTTGTCCTCTGAGATTCTTGCGCTAATCACATAAAAATGGTTTCTTTAAAACAGCAGCTGACCATCACCAATACTTGAGCTGACTGTTCACCTAGGACAGGTCAGCCACAATTGAGCTGACAATGAGGCCAGCCAATTTCTAACAAAAGGGAGGAGTCAGATTTATGAATCTTTGGAGCAAGTCCGCATATACTTACTTTTCTGACTCCCTCTGACAGTTCACACAGGGAGGAGCCGGGGTTGTGGGATGGAGCTAGGGCTGGTGTTCCCACTCAGAGCTTCCCCCCAGGCAAGAAGCACAGTCCAGAAAGCTAATGGTTATTTAAGGGCAGCCGGGGAAGGGCTCCACGGGTGTCCAGTTCCTAGCACTGACAGATGGGCCATTATGTTGACACATCCACCCAGTCCTCACAGAGCAGGTGCATGAAGCAATCTTTTCATTTAATCCTACCAACCTTAGCAAGTTAAACTGTAACTATGGAGGCAGCAGGAAACGGTAGCTGCTACTAAAACTGTGATCATGGGCTTCCAAGAGCATCTTGTTCTCTCCCAGCCTTAATGGCAGGCAGGGAATTTCTTTAGAGTAACTCAAATCTATTGCCAACTCAGTGATCCCGGACACCAAGGCATCAGGTACTCCTCCTACTCATCCAAGAAAACACTTGCCCCCAACTCTAGAGCCTCAGGGGTCTCTTTCATCCTTTCTATTCATTCATAAATAAAAGGCACTATTTATTATAAACACCACATGGTTTATGTACCTGGAGAGTTATAAAAATATTTTATTTTTATCAAACAAGAAAAGAAGTCACTACTTTTAACGACTCAGCAAACGGGAATTCTTAAAAAAGATGGCAAAGGCAATCCTCAATTTACATATTAGAACCACTTATCAACTGCTTATTTCGACTGGGCTTCCTTCATGCCTTGCTTGATAATAACTGGTGCTCAGTGAATGCTTTCACTCAACACATTTTAGTAATGTGGCACCTGGATTTGAATCTCAGCTCTGCCTCCCTCTACTAGCTGTGTGATACTGGGCAAGTTACTTAGCCCCTCAGAGCCTTTCTTATCAGAAAGTGAGATGAGGTTTGTAAAGTACTGGCAGCACACCTGGGCACACAGGAACAGTTAAAAATACCCCTGATGTGTACCTGATCTCAACACTTTGTCAAGTGCACCATTCAGAATCTCAAAATTTAAGGCTTTTCTTATACAACAATCAAGCACAAAATGTGGTCTTGATTGGATCCTGGTTTGAACAGACGAATTCTAAAAGACACTTAGAAATCTGAATATGAACTGATAATACTGGGAAATAATTGGGAACTGGTAATATTGGGAAATTATTATTAATCATTAGGTAAGTTAAAGGTATTTTTGAAAATCCTTATTTCGTAAAATGCATATTAAAGTAGAAAAATGTCAAAATGTCATAATTTCCTTTTAAACATTTAAAATATTTCAGAAAATAAAGGATGGCAGCAAGTTAACAATTGTGAAACCTAAGTAATGAGTATACAAATGCTTATTATACTATTCTTTCCACTTTACATTTGAAATTTTTCATATTACAAAATTCCAACAAACAGTTTTCTAAAAAAAAAAAAGAGAGAGAGAGAGAGAACCTCAAATGCCACTTTTAAAAATAAATAAATCTCTATTCTGAAGCCAAACACAAATGTTTAGAACTGTGAATTATCCCTGCTTTAAGATATCTATTAAGTATAGTTCCACTTTTTTTCAAAGCCATTATTTCATCCACTGTTCCTCAAAGGAACACAGTATAGCAGTGGAATCTATCTCTCATCGTCTGTTACCCACATCAGGACCTCACAACCCTTCCACATTCTGCCCTCAGCACTATAACAGTTCTCCACACCATTGTCCTTCCTGTCTTTCCATCTGCCCATTCTTTGAAAAGCTCTTTCCAACAACTCCAGTTCTGCCTTCTCTAACTCTAACCTCCAAGAATATATAAAAATTATACATTTGATTGTTGTTCTCTACTGACCAAATTCATACTTGTCCTGACTGAACTGGATGCATGTCTTGTCACTTTTACTGTACTGTAAGCTGCTGGCTGGCAGGGGCCACTTCTTTTATTCTTCAAGTCCCCTACTGAACAATGTACACTGCTCTAAATAGTGCACAAATCTGTTAGTACTTCCTGATGACTGTTTACACCAGGGGTCCTCAAACTTTTTAAACAGGGGGCCAGTTCACTGTCCCTCAGACCGTTGGAGGGCCGGACTATAGTTAAAAAAACAACTATGAACAAATTCCTATGCACACTGCACATATCTTATTTTGAAGTAAAAAAACAAAACGGGAACAAATACAATATTTGTATTTGCATGTGGCCCGCGGGCCATAGTTTGAAGACCCCTGGTTTACACCGACCCCATTCCTTAGGAGCCTGAGAGGCAGAGCTGACTCAACTTTAGCCAGAACTGCTTCCAGATGTTCACATACGTGCTTTACGAATAGTATTCTACTTCAAGTTAGAAAAAAGGGAGGCTCCAATTTCTCTTTGGGATCTAAGTGCCACATTCTCAATGTATTATAGCCCAAAGTCTCATCAACCCCAATGAGAATCTTACTCTGTGGTTCTTACAAGTGCTGCTTCTACATGACCCTGCAGCGTTCATGAAAACCAATTTAGGTAACATGTCATGAGTTCATCAACCTTAAGAAATATCTCAACAGCCTCACCACAGCTCAGCCGTTCCAAAAAAGCAGTATGCTGGAACCTTAATTAAGGCTGATAAGTAATTCATTCTGACAGTGCACGCCAGGGCAAAGAGAGTTGGTTAAAAGCATCAGCCCAAAAGAAAAAGAAAACAACTAACAGGTTCATGACTCAGGAAGATGAGTGCAGGGCCCTAGCCAGGAATGCCAGCCCTCTCCTAAGACTACAATGATGGCTGAGCCAAGTACTTTGATCTTGAGTAAAGGAACTTCGATTATAGAAAACAATGGATCAACTAACTGGTTTTGCCTCCTCCAATTCTCACCTTCCCATTAAACTCAACTGCCTCAAGTTTCCGTTCTACCAAGGTATTTTAGAACAGTCATACTCTGAAGGGTTAAGATTAAGACAGACAAATCTGGAGAACAGGAATGTAGAGGAAAGTCTTTGATTAAGTGTTAAGATGTGAAGTCTTTCCTCAAATATAGGCAATTTACTGGTTTATCAATTTACTTCTCTAATTTCCTGGAGAATTAACATGACTACACAGAACCCTTTGTGACTATTCAACCAACCAATAAATTAACCCTTTGCTACACTATTGCTAAATGAAGTCCCTCTTACCAGACCATGTGACAAAAGAGAATTCACATCACCAGGTTTCTTTTCTTAATCTAGACCATATTTTAATAAAGCATTGGTCAGAAAAATACCATTCTTACAACAATGCAACTTGTCCCTCAAATAAACATTAATTTTATTTTTTAATTTTTGAGGGTAAATTTTGAGACTTAACAGTTATATGATTATATAGATGGGATGCTGGCCTAACATGCAGCATTATTAATCAGAGAAGAATGCACAGAAATACTCACAGGCCCCAATACGTGAACCACCTACAACAGTGAACTCTTAGCATAAGGGCTTTATTCAACCAACCAAAACCAACAACCAGGAACCATCACCCCCTTAGCAGTGTGTGGAAGACATTGTCAATCAACTAGCATAAAGAAAAACAGATCAAGAAATCAAACACCTAGAAGTGTCTCAGAACAATCATAAACGTAAAATCATAATTAAATAATTCTCTCTTATTCCCCACAGGTGAAAAGTCAAAATATCACTTGGGCCACTCTGGGTTGTAGATGAGGGAGTAGATGGGCCACATAGACTGAAAAGACATCAACAAGAAGACATGCAAACAAGGTAAATAAAGTAAAAGCCCAGCAACAGTTAGGGATACATAATTGAGCTTGCCTTTTTCCTCCGAAAACAAACAAACAAACAAATAAACAAAAACAAGAATCCCACCCAAACCCCAAAAAATCAAAGTAGGAACCAATTCCAAAGGTGTGTTGTTGTTGCTCAGTATACATTAAAAATGGAAGCATGGCTGGCGATATTTTGACTTTCTTTTCTTAAAATGTAAAGGTAAAGAACTTTGTTCTTTCAACACCCAAACCAGAGCAGAGAGACAGTAGTAAATTATAAATGTGGATGAAGTAATATCCACAGGACATGAAGATGGGGGAGGGGGGAGGGGAGAAGGGGTAGGTTTTGTGTTGTTGCTGTTGGCAGGAGAGCTAAGCAGTCTTAAAGAACATTCTAGGATTCAAGGTTTGCCATGAAGGGGTATCACAAATCCCAAGGCCCACCACCTACCCCTTCTCCTCTTCTCCAAGGGCACCTACCTTACTGTAAGTCACTACTGATAAGTTGTTTGCGTGACTGCTGGGGGACAGATTTACAGAGTTCTGTGAGAGTCTATTCTCATCTTGCTCGGTTTGGTCAGGAGCAGGAGCCCATGTGTTTTTGCTGATTGAGTCGAACTCGGAACCCCCAGGGTCTTTTAAGTTGTTTTCATCTGATTGTCGGTTCTTTTGGGGAGAGGCAAACGGGTTGAAGTTTCCTTCTACCTTGCGATGTGGCTGTGTGTTGAACTCCGTTTCGAAAGATGACAGCTGCTGCGTTACTCCTAAAAGTCCACCCACCTCCACACTGAGAATCACCCAGATGACATCTGAAACAAAAAAACAACTCATGTCAACGCCAAATACACCCTCAAGGCCCAAAGCAGCTACCCCCAAGAACCTCAACCACCCCCCAAACCATAGAGAGAAGCGTTCTTCTACATGTTAGTTTAGAACAGTGGTTCTCAACCTTCTGGCCCTTTAAATACAGTTCTTCATGTTGTGACCCAACCATAAAATTATTTTCGTTGCTACTTCATAACTGTAATGTTGCTACTGTTATGAACCGTAATGTAAATATCTGATATGCAGGATGGTCTTAGGCGACCCCTGTGAAAGGGTCGTTCGACTGCCAAAGGGGTTGCGACCCACAGGTTGAGAACCGCTGATTTAGAAGCTTGCTCACAAAATAGTCCAGTACATTTGCATTGCATTTTTGGTTCTACATTTTTGGTAATGTCAAGTTCAAGCTCTGGAACAAATTCAGTAGAGGTCTATGAGAACCCTGAAACTATTTGTAAAAAGGGTACTAGTTGATTCTGATGCACAGCCATCTTTGGAAATCATTACTCCAGAAGGACAATTATCAATAGAAACCTAAAATCTATTTTTCCAGAATTACAAGTTCTTAGTGGTTTTTGCTTATTTTACATGTTTTTAACTCAGAAAACTCAGGGCATGCATAATTCCTGAATAAAAAAAAAGGTTATTATTACTAAAATTGGAAATTATAGATTGCCCCACCTCCACCACGGCAATTTAGAGAGACCATACTGTTCAAACTAGGTCAACTGAGAGTGAAAGATGGAACTACTAATAATTGCACCACTATATAGGTGTAAACCTGGCATATTAGGACAGATCTTACCCTGGCTATACCACAATATATGTGAGCAAAAGATACCAAAAATTTAATATGTCTCAGACTTTCTAAAATAATCTAACACCAACTTTACCTTTCTGTCAGATAGGGAAACCCTACTATCTACACTGAAACCATAAGAGATATGTTTTAAAAAAATGCCCCATAGAACTTTTGTCCCAATTCAGTTTTTTATTTCCTCAACTACCGAAGCTAAGGGTTCAAAAAAATAATAAGGAAAGTGGCAGTTTCCTCTATGTTCAGCACCTCAATTCAGAGAACAGTGGCATCAACTTTACTGCTGGAAGGTTTTTAAAATGCAAGCTACAGAAAGGCCAAGAAGCATTTCAGTGTGAAGACAAATATAAAAAATTGTCCCAGTTCCTAAACAACTGTAAGGTTGATAGGAAAAGGCAAATAAACCTCATCAGTTAGCTACATGAAAATACAGATAACATATAAGTAAAGAGGATAGTGAAGGAATTGAGGAAAATCTCTTGGGCTGTGTTTATTATCAATTTTCAATTTGGGTTCTGTATCTGAGGAAGGGGATCTTAGGGTGTCAGAGAGCAATAAATACTCAATTTGAGGTCAGTGGTTTGAGAGCTGTACGAAGAACTGGGTTGCATCCAAACAATTATGATCCAGAGCCCTGCAGTGACATCTGCTGTTCACTTCAAGAAGTAGCAACTCATTTCACTTGAGAATAGGAAACTAAAGCCACTAGCAGCATTAGCAGGACTCACAGGAATGGGCATCTCCAAACACACTTGTCATTAAAGCAAACGTAAATCCTCATGCAACTAGTACCATAAAAGTTCTACCTGTTGATTTAACACTGTAAGCCAGGATATGCAGTGTGCCACTTCACTCAGAAATGTGGGACAGTGACAGGTGTGGTGGGTCAGAGGACTTTCATTCAGAGCTCTGAGTCAATCTCATAAACCAGTATGATGTGGGCCTTAAAGAACAACTCAGTGGCAGGCAGCCTGAGGAAGTCATTCCATGCTCTTCTATCCTAGTTTTCTAACCAAAAGCAACATTCCTTTACTCTACTGCTCCTTATTCCCAAATGAATATGCCCTGTTTCACAGTACATTAGTTCCTCCTTGTCCTCCACCCATCTGCTTTCAGTATATGAGACTAATGACATTCTCCCCCACACACACCGGCTTTGAGAACTAAAGCGTCTTTAATATAACTCATTGGGTCTTATCATACTTAAGCCACCACATTCTATTCACCTTGGCTACTTTGCTAGACTGTTCACACACTATATAGTTGCTATAAAAGGAATGTCATTTAAGAAGCCACTGATTTATAAATATTAGTAATAAACAATCCAGTTCTGATCCTCCAAAGTTATTACTGTGGGGTCATTAATGAACAGCAAAACATGCCTTCTCCACTATACAATGAGACATCGAGGCATCAGCTCTAGACCTGCATTTCTGAATGTGCTCATCCCATGCACTGTGTGTGTGTGTGTGTGTGTGTGTGTGTTTAATCAAGTAAATAAAAGATGATAAGAAGATGGACCCAATAA